ACACACACACACACACACACATGACATCGTGTTGTGTAAACTGTCCAGCCTGCAAGTATATCTTGGGGTGCTGTTCCTAAGCAGAGAACCAAATAAGCTTGTTTACTGTATAAAGTGTATCAATAAAATAACAAGTGTTGGGACCTAGTAGTTGTGAACAATAGTTAGGCCTACATGTGTAGCCAGAAGCCTGCAACCACATGTTTCCTTTGTTCTGAAGACAAAAGAGAGGCTGCAGAGGGTGCTTCATCTTCACCTAGGTGTTATACCCCTGGACACAACTTTCAACCACTATTGGTCACTATGTGCCCCATGACCCATGAGGTCATCAGGACAATAAAAGCAGAGCTTCGCTTCTCTTCTCTTCTATCTCTTTCCTACTCACTTCTCCTGAAGGAGAGGTGGGTATCTCTCCTGCTCACCCAGCCAGGGAGACTTCCTCCTAAGAACTTCAGCACAAGCTGCCACGACACAAGGCAGATGCACAACAACAGGAGCAACAACCAGCAAGACCACATCACTGGACAGCACACCAAAAAGGACCTTTTCCCCTTTTCATGGACGGGTAACACAACTGGGTTTAATAATTACACTAGGCTAAACAAAGGACTTTAATTCTATTATTTTTATGTGATGTTTGATTTGTGTTGCTGTGATATTTTGATAATAAGTTATTATATATATAGTTTATATGTCCCCAAAATTAACACATACATGTGACCTACGTGTAACCATTCCATGCCCTGTATACTCACATACACATGTATATAGTAAGTACCTTTAGTCATGCCGCAAAGAATTCTGGGAACTGCAGTTCCTACAACTTCACCGGGAGTCTCATTCTTCCCACCCACTGCTGTAGCGTCTCTTCAGCTTTGTAATCAAACTCGTGCAGCATTGTGGAGACGGCTTCTCCAGGCTGAGTGCCATCCCGCACACTCTCAAAAGATAAGTATGTAATGTATCAGAGCTTGGCAAAGCTCTAAAGAAGCACTCAAATGGCATTTTGTTGATGGAGAAGGGCCATAAGGGGCCCATCTGATGATCCTTCATTCCCATATTTGCATACATCCATCGGCATCTGCAACTTTAGTGTATGATGAGTATTCATCATTAACACTAACAAAGTGGAATCTATTTGATAAATAAGACCTAAACCAGCTTAATGCTGTCCCTCCAATCCCAACCTCCTGCTCTAATCTTTGAAGGAGAATGTTATGGTCAATGGTGTCGAATGCAACACTGAGATATAACATGACCAGCATGGAGACAAGACCCTGGTCAGAGGCTAGGAGAATATCATTTGAGACTTTTAGAAGTGCTGACTCTGTGCTATGGTGCATTCTAAATCCTGACTGATAGCCCTCCTGCAGGTCATTTCTCTGGAGGTGATCGAGCAGCTGATTTACAACAGCTCTTTCTAAAAGTTTAGAAGTAAATGGGAGGTTTGAGATAGGCCTGTAATTTGCTAAGATACCTGCATGTGAAGAAGTGAATAAAATCATTGCTGCTCAATGACAATGGGATTTTTGGTTCAATAGAGCTGTGGCTCTTGGTCAGCCTGGCTACAGTGCTGAAA